GAATCATTCGGTAAGTTAGTCGTTTTTGTGAATGTTTGCAAGGATCCTAGAAGGACCTCTAGCTTTGTAAACACGAGCAACCTTCGCGCTTATCATATAGTTAATTAGACAGCTTGATACTGAACATAATTAATATAGAAAAGTAGATTTTGTATATGCAATTGTGCTCTACACTAACTTATGAGTGTCGCATCTAAACAAAAGCTAATGACATCCTATCACTACATATTTTTACTAACAAGTCATAACTTAGGGTCAATTGTGACAGTTTTTAGTCCTACTATGCTGCTTGCTACTATCAACATGTTATCTATTTTTCATACTTATGATGAAAAAAGATAAAGGATCCAAATATATTTAACTATGTGTCAAATACACAATTTATAATTGATAAATTGGAAAGAAGCCTAATCTTTCTATTTATAGAAGCCTAATCCATTTTAGGAATTACCAAAGTTGAATCATGATCTCTAGGGAAAGTAGAATTCGAATCATGATGCATCTAGGAAATCTAATTATCTGGGCCAACGTATCTTGTTATGAGCCTGTCGTCGGATCAAGAGTCGAAAAGTGATAGGTTCAGGCCGACATGTATCACGGTCAAGTCGGGTCTTCTGGAGCGCCGACCACGAGTCAATCGAGGGTCGACTTGGGTTGCCGAACACCGATTCCCTTTCTAGTTCGTGCCTTCTCTTGACTCTCCCTAGTTTTCTCTAGCTTTGTTGGATCTTCTCTTTCTCCCTACAGCAAGTTTAAATCTCCCATGTACTTAAAAAAAAAAAAAGATCTTACCACCATTTGAAAGAGCGAAAAGAAAAATAAGCCTCACAAATAATACTAGATAAAACTTGAATACTTTAATTTAATATAATCAAGCATGTAATCTTTTTTAAGTAAAACCGATTTTGATAGCAATTTTATATTATAAAAATTGTTTATTTTCTCACCATTTATTTGGTATAGTTTTCACTTTTTTTTTATTTAGAATTCTTAACCAAAATTAAAAAATAGTAGGTTATTCTCAACATATTTATTTATTTAATATATTTATTTTCAAGTATCTAACCAATTTGTTCTCTCTCAAAAAGTGATTACAATTATGTAACAATTTACTATTTATTTATACAACATATCATAAATCAAGATTGTTAAAGCGAACATAGTTCAGTTGTGAGTTCGAATCCCCTCCCTAACATGTTAGTACTAAAAAAATATATATAATAAATCAAGATTACCATTCAAAATAAATAGCAGCAACATAAACATTTGAAACATTAATGAATTTATCTTCACAACATTAAATCTTCTGAGAAAAAAAGAAAAGTTAAACAGGGTACACATTTGTATTCTACAATGGAATATAGGTTTGGATTTACTCCCCTTATTTGTAATTTGTAATGTCAAAAAAAGATGAAGATGGGTACTTTCCAAGCGATCTGACGAGAAATAGAAGGATTTGATTTGGGAAATTTGGGATATGGCTATCTATGACTTCTCGTGTTTTCCTTTCACATTGAGATTTGTGGGAAGAAGGAAGGAATTTGTTTGGCAACAATAATTGACATTTTTTTGGCAATATAAAATCATTGCCAAATCCTATCTGCGTCTCTCTTTTACCCCTTCCCCCGCTGGGCTGGTGGGATAAGAAAGAGAGTCTTCTCTCTCATCTTCCCAATCAAATCCTTCCCCCTGATGCTAAGGATTAAACCCTTTTCCTGTTTCTTGACCCTTCCTCTTCCTCTTCTTCTTCTTCTTCCCTGACCCAACAAGGGGAAGAAGAAAATCGTCTTGGAAATCGACGGTCTTGCCCACAGAGAGAGCTCTCATCCATGGACTCCTCCTCAGATTCCTATGAGGCCGCCCCACAAGGGTTGAAGGAGAAAGAGTCAATGGTTGACCCCTTCTTGGTTGAGGCTCTCCAGAATCCTCGACATCGTCTCACCAGTGAGTACCCTTTTTCTTGTTGGGATTGAATTGCCCAATTGACCCATGTTGTCCCACAATCTTGATTTGGGTTTCGATTTGCGAGTTTGTATTGCTTTTTCTTGAATTTTGTCGCCTTTCGATTTACGGTCTTGTAGTTTGAGGTCAGGTGAATTATCTGATTTGGATTTGGTAGTGCTACATGCTTGTAGTCGGGTAAGATCTGTTTTTTCTTCTTATTTTTTTTTCTTGGTGGGGTTTCTGTGTTTTAGTTTGGGGAGAAATCGGGGAAAGGGGCAAGACTCTGCGGGAGCCCAATTGCATATTTGACTACAGAAGAAACGTGTAGAAGTAATATCTGAATGAGAATGCATAAGAATAAAAGTACATGTTATGAAGTTAAATTTTCTTATATGGTATGGTGCTGTATTAACAAAACAGTTCCTGAAGAATATGGTAATTGTTTAAGGGATATCCTATTGGTTGAGAACCTTATATTATAAGAATGAGAATGGGCTGGTCTTATTTACGTTTGTTGTATATAGCAATGCGGTTTCTCTTTTATTGATGCACTTGTAGTATTCTGCTATCACCATTCAGATAGTAATGGCATTAGGAAGGAAGAGAGGTAGATGTCTTTGTTGAAGATCTCAAGAAAAGATGATTGTTTGACATTTTTTTGCGATCTTTCTCTTTCTTTTATTCTGGGTTGGAGTTACTGTTTCTGGTTTTATTACATTCTTTCCGTTAAACTAGTCTTTGACAGATTCCTTTTTGTGAGAAATAGAATCAACCATTCATCCTGTGTTTCATGTGTCCCAATAAGGAATGGAAGGCTATTGGTTGTATATTTATACTTGTTCCTCTTCCTTCCTAACTCACACTAGACTTGGTAATTCATGCACTACCAACTGAAGGGTTGGGCTTGCACTCTTTCAGTGGGGACCCTAATGTTTGAGGAGTTCCGATATGCTAGGAGGAAGCATCAGGTGCTGATGCTATTTGGGAGCCTTCTATGACTATTACTTTGCAATTTCTTAGTTTTCCCTTTGAGGACTTGGATGACTATTAGTATTTGGAAACAGGATAATACTAGGCCTCATATTATTATTTATTAATGTATATTGTAGGAAGAGAATTAGGGGGAACTAGTGAATAGATTGCATGATGAAAGTGTGGGGCCTTTTCTTTAATCGGCAATTGTGGAGGGAGTGGTGCGTAACTGATGAATATATGAGATGGATGAAGTAGAGGAGAGGTGAGGTTTTGATGTTGACTTAATCTTGGAGAGATGAGATTCCTTTCTCTACTGTTAGAAATTGCAAGTATTTGCTTTTTCTAATGCTAGCATCTATTGAAAAACTTGAATTTTAGAATGGGTTCCATTAAACCTTATGAGGTTACAATAAAGGGGTAGCTTAAAAGAGTTTTAAGTCCTGGAAATGAAATAATTACTTGGAAGTAAATATCCCTTCAGAAATTTATATCGAGAAGAAAAATCTCTTCCCTTTATAAAAATCAACAATTTTATGTCTTAACATTTTGGTGAGTATTTATTAAGGAAGCGAGCTTCTCTCTTTCCAAATTGTCAAAATTTATTCTGAAGGAAAGATTCCAATTTGATTTTGAAGGAGATGGAGAGTCCATAAGAGTATCATACATATATATATATTAAATTTTTCATGAGATGAGTATCACAGACCGTCATACAGTTCTATACCTTTATATATTTTGACATTTTGACTCCTTAGTAGAAGATTTTTACATACTCCATTACAGATAATGTAATGTACCATTATGTAAATGGATGTCAAAGACTCAAAACTCAAAAGCAAAAGCAACATTTCTAGTGGCCTCGCTTTGTAGCTTTTTTTATTGTCTTATGGATCTGGCATGTCGTTTTATTCAACTAGGTGCAGAGGTAGTTCATAATCCGTAAGGATGTTTTTTTTATTTTTTATTTATTTTTAAGCATCCTTCCTCAGTCCTGTTGATAATATGAATATGCATTTCTCTTAATTCCATATTTTAACTTTGAATTCTTTCGATAATATGATTATTTGAGTGAGTTACCTATTAATTTACACTTTTTGCAGTTTTACGAATGGAACTTGATATCCAGAAGTTTTTGCATAACCCGGAACAGCAGCTTTTCGAGTTCCAGCATTTTCCTACATCATACCTTCGACTTGCTGCTCACCGTGTTGCTCAACATTATGGCCTTCAAACCATGGTCCAGGACTCTGGCATAGATGGTTTTGGAAATAGGATCTTGGTTCGTAAAACGTTGGAAAACAGACTCCCTTCTGTGCGTCTATCTGAAATACCTGCGAAGCAATTGGACAATGAGAAGCATGAGCATGTCAAAATTGTCATCAGACCTAGACCTAACAAAATGTCTGAAATTGCTGCCAATGATGGAAGTCTAAAACAAAATTCTGTCAGAAGTGTGGAAGAGAGAAAGGAGGAATATGATAGGGCACGAGCTCGGATTTTCAGCTCCCCAAGTAGTCCTGATTTAGATGATACACCGTCTCAAGCCCCATCTGACGGAAAGTATGCATGTTCAAACAGGGATGAGACTGAAACCATTAGAACTCTGGTGGGTAGTGATTTGGAAAAATTTAATGGCAGGGAAGGAATGACTTCTCGGGTTGCCATTTTCAAAGATAGGGAAAAGGATCGTAGTGACCCAGATTATGATCGCAATTATGAGAGGTATGCATATATCTCTCTAATTTGGATCTTGAATTGGCAATTCTGTTGGTGGTAGATTTAGAAAAATTATAGATTTTGCTGATTAATCTTTATCTTTATGCATGAGTGCTCCATTTAGACTTGTTTGGAAATTTTGTGCGATCATTTCACGGCTGACCTTTTATTAGTTGCAGCATGTTGCTTGTCTACAAAGTGCCCGTTATTACAATTACATTCCTGTACGATGTTTGGTTTGTGATTGCTTCAATTTCCAAAGAAAACTTAGTCCTGAGTATGATATGCCTATGAAGACAGCAACGTTGATTCATAGAATCATAGTAATCAAACTTTGATGCTTTCTTGGTACAGGTATAATAGGAACCTTCCAACCAATCAAAACTTAAACTTAGCCCCCTTTATTATGCAAAAAATTCAACCTCCATTTGTACAATATGATTCGGGTTATTCTCTCATGGGTCATATACCGGGAACTCAAGCTTCAGTTAGCTATGGGCCTCATCCTAGTCCTGTTGTAAGCCCTTTCTGCACAGTGGGTTTAAACCAGACATCTAGAGATGCATCTTATGAGCAGTGGCAGAGTGCTGCAATGATGTATGCCCATTCCTACAATCAGCTCAGGCATTCTGCTTTCCAGGTATTTTTAATTAGCGAGACTTTTCTTTTGCATAAAGGTTGCAAGTATTATTTGCCAAAAACCAAGAAAAGAGTTCATAAACCTTTTTGCATTGTGGATGCTCAGCATTGTCTTGCAGTTTTGATTGATGAAATCAGCAAAATCAGTTTTTTTTTTTCAATGTTTGAAAGACTTCTGCTGTTTATGTTGAAAGATCTCAAGTTTCATAATGTCAAATCGTGTATTGAATCATGTGTCTTTTTAATAAAGTGTAACATGTATTGGAAGATGCAATTTTAAAACTAGATATAAGTATTCATGTTATCTAAGATTGATAAGAGCATCTAATTAACTTTAATGGCCTTTCTTCTATAGTTTCATAGATATTGTTACTTTTCTTCGTTGAGTAATTCCATTTCCATTATGGTACATACACAATTAGTTTTATCGTTTCTACTTGCTAGAAACTTTGCAATTGAAGCTTGTCCACTGCATTGGTTGGTAGCAGATACTATTTCTATCGAATGTTTCTACTCGTGGAATCTACAGTTTTTACAATATTGGTTTTGACTTCACTTGATCTCCCAATTTTCTTTGCCTTATAAGATAGTTTGCTCAAGGCCGAAAGGGGGAGGTATCCCTCAAAAAGGCCCCTCCAACCTAAATCAATAAAAAATCTGAAATCATCAAAATTTTTGTAAATATCATTAAAAAACCTATTCTTCATCTTACGAATGAACCGTAAATGAGTTCTGGTTTTGAATTTCCATAATGTTTAAGCTTTGATTTTTATCCACCACCCAAGAGCAAATCTAGGAGCCAATCTTCACAATCATTAAGGAAACAACAATTGATCCCAACAGACATCAAGATGGACAGCCACCCCTTGGCTGCGAATTCATAGTGATTGAAGTGTTTTGTAGTTTCTTCATCTTGTTCCATGCAAACTGGAAATACTTGGTGCCATATTTCATTTGGTCTGTCAGGAACTCCAAGATTTATTTTTTAGAATTACCAATGACTAAATCTCCCCTTATTAGAGGAAGAGAAGTATTAGTAGCTATCAATTCCCACCTCCTCTCCACTCCGTTATAACTCACTCATTCCTCTGTCAAAAGTAGCAGCCACCCTATTCAGCATTGGGAAAATAGATATAAAGGAATTAGGTAATCCTTTCTCTCAAGAATTGAAACAATCAGACTTTTTGGCCACAACTTCTATAAAAAAAGATCTTATTAGAAAAGAGGAGAAATTTTGGAGGCAAAGGAGTAGAATAAAGTGGCTTAAAGAAGGGGGCAAAAGCTCAAGGTATTTTGACCTCGTTACCTCTGCAAGACACGAAAAGTTTATTATCTTGATGAACATGAGACAAGCCTTGTCAATACTTAGGATATTGAAGGTGCTTTCTTGGAGTTCTTTACCAAATCTGCACTCTAACTAGACTTCTTTACGAAGATCCTTCATACAGAATTCTTGACAAAATCCTTGTCTCTAGGAAACGAATTTGAAATACAGAAAAAGGTCTTGAACCTGAGGAAATCAAGGTTGATGTTGATGGTATTCACATAATTTTCTTGTAAAGAATCTACATACTAGAAGTTACAGCATTCTTTCTTCTTTTAGGGCCTACCTGAAAAATAATCCAGTGTTTTTTGGTCGTGAATATCTAAATAGCACGAACCGCCCTGTGGTTTGCTTGTTATATCATAAAATGTTCTCTGTCAAATGTTTTAGATGTTCGGTTTTTCTTTTACCTTGTAGATTCTTCCTTGGTAAAATCTATAATTTCTTGCGCATTGGATTCTTGAAGAAGTAATGTTGCATAAGTTATTATTAATGTTTAATATTTTGCATCTAATTTCCTTTCCATTTGGTGGTATATACTTATTGCAGGCTCCATTCTGCCAGCAACCCCTCAGCTTTGACTATTCTCAAAACCATTAGATGAGGAGTTTAGATGAAGAATTTACAATTAGATTTTGTACTTGTAGGGGTTGCTGTTGATTCACTGCTTGGAACTCAGTTCTAGTTTGTGCCTCTTTTGTTCTTCATTTGGATCTTCTTATTACATAAGGATTTGTAAGGATTGTGAGGACTTTCTGATGTCTTTTGGACAAATTTACATACACTTGATGATGCCATTACTTGAATTTCTTCATCTCATTCAATCATACCCATTTCAAATTTCTCTGCTATGATGAACTCACTGGACTTCACTTTTTTCTTTAATATGTTTTCCTGTTTATTTTATTGGAGCTGATCAGGACAGTTAAAATAACATAGTTTGATCATTTCTTTTAACTTTGAATTTACATGTGATGTTTCTGCCACTTTATTTATTGCTTTATATAAAGAGGAAGACAGCCAATTTTGTTCAATGGTTTCTGCTTAAGAAAGGAATCATATCTGTTAGAAAGAGATTTTTATCTCATTCCATTTCACGCAAAAAGTAAAAGTTGAGTGTACCTAAACTGATATACTTACAATATATCTTATATGAATATATTTAAAAGGCTTGGAAGGTAAAATCGAAATAACTAAAAAAAATAAAAAATCATATTTTAAATATTTTATTATATTTGCAAAACTAAAAAATTGTACAAATTCGCATTTATTTTATTTAAGTTGTGAGAGACATCTTATTTGCAAACTAAATCTACAAAAACAACCAAAAAAGGAAAGGAAAAAGAAAAAAAAAATGTCATAAAATAAGTTTATAAATTTGGCAGTACATGAGTTTTTTCTTGTAGATGAAGAAATGGTTTTTACAATTTTCTCCTCTTCCTCTATCTTTAGTCTCCTCTCTTTTAGTGGTATCCATAATTGTTCTCCAAAGCTCCAAAACTTTTAATTTGCATGTTTTGTTCTTCTTGGGGTCTTGTCTTGTTAATGGGACCCTCATCTTATCTCCACACAATTATGTGAAAATCAATCTTGTCTTGTTATAACTTTTTATGAGTCCTATGCAACTTTAAAATGCATGTTTTCTTTCTTTTCTTGGGGATTTAGGGTTTGAGTTTAGTTCCATGGTGTGGTTTAGTTGCTTCTCATGTGCTTGATTTGTCAATGAGATTGGCAGTCTCGTAGTTAGAAGAACTAGTCGTGCTACAATGAACCACTCGAATAACTTGGTCCAATGTGAAAAAAAGAATTAGATGTATCCTTATGACTTGTACAATATAGATAGTTCATAGAAGAAGCAAAACAACTAGCAGCAGCAAAGGTTTGATCCAACATGTGAGAAGAAAATCTCTAACTGAGTGGTGCACGAAATCGCGAAGAAGACAATGGAATCTAGCAAAAGAATGAAGAATGACATCGTTTTTTCTTTCTAATTGACTTTGTGCCGTAGCTCAAATCGAACTTCCAATAGCTTAATTCATTTAATTGCCTTTATTAAAAAATAATAATAATTAAAACACAATTCAATTCAGGGATGAGTTGAAGTTGAATTTGAAGGAATGAATTCTTCATGCCTATATTTGAAACTTATCTAAGAAAAAAAGTTCCTCAATTTCCAATTTAATTAGGTGTTCTCTATCATATTAGGGTTAAGTTTTCGTGGGAAAGATTATTCTTAGGTTCAATTTTATTGGTGTTTGACATTTTTATTTATTAAATAATTTATCATTGGTGTTTTAAATATTTTCTAGGTAAAAATATTTACTATTTTCTTTTCATTATGAGTTGGACTAATTTTTAAAAATCCTTTTATTTTTTTGAAAAATATTCTTGAATTTTAAAGTAAAAAATTATTTCACGGAGTTCTCGATTTCTTGGTATGTCGTACTTGAAGAGAAGCTTTAATATGAACCCTAAGGGCCATCAAAAGAAAAATACTAATTCCAAATTTATGTTTCCTAATTTAATTTTGTATTCTAATAACAAAACTAAATTTAAGAACAATCATTTTGAAATATTTTAAGATCTCTAAAAAAATAAAATACAGAGTTAAATTTTGAAATATTGTAGCTAAATTTTTTATTTTATTGAATTTAGATTTTTTTTTTGTTATCATGATTGAACAAAAAAAAAAGTGAAGTTCTTAAACTTTCTTAAACTAAATTAGATGGAATAAATTTTTGCTAGTTGTCAATTATTTAGTATCTATAAAATAACAAATAATTTATGAAATCACACAATATATAATTATAATGCCTAACTTAGAACAAGTTAGAGCATCAAGCCACTTGCAAACACATGCCAAATGGCTAATATTTATTAAGAAAAAGAAACACAAGTTAAACAATTATTTGCTCATGTTATTTAATTATAGTTTTAAAAAGGAAATCCCAATATCTTTTTCATTGGATAAACACAACCCCATTTGCCAAAATAGAAATTAATTGATAAACAATTACTCAAGATTTTGAGTTCTTAATTCCAAAACAGCCAAAATTAGATGATACATATCTAATCCCAATTGCCCACTAAAAAGGGAAATTTTGTTTTGACACAAATCAATGTGCTGTCTAATTCGATGACATGTAAATGAAAAAGCTTGACAATTTCAGATATGGATGAGGGTTTCAAAATTTTAATAGACCAACCAATCAACATTGATCAGGCAAATAAAAAATAGGCTAAATATATATTTTAGAACTATTTTCTTAATTTAGTCCCGATTATTTAAAAAGTTTCAATATAGTTCTTATGTTTGAATATTTTCAATTTACTCATTTTTCACCATGGGTCGTTAATGTTAAAATTGATTGATGATAGATTTACGTTTCATAATAGTTAGTGACTTGGCGAAAAACGAGAAAAAAGGGCATCAACAGAATAAAAGTCAAAATTTCTTTTGATTCCTTAAAAACTTTCCTCTCTAGCTTGCCTTTTTCCTCTTTTAAATTTCCACCAACTCATTAAGGAATATGCAATAGAAAATTTTAATATTTATTAACACAGCAAAGGACTAAATTTAAAAAATATAAAATATAAGAGACTAAATTGAAACTTTTTAAAAAGTACGGACTAATTAAATTGAAAAATACTCAAATATCAGAGACAATAATATACATTTAGTCTACAATATAAATATATGAACTTAACAAATGTTGTAAGAATAAAGAGTTGTTTTATGAGATCAGTGGTGTGGTGGTTGAGTTGATAAGAACCCTCGCTCGCGAATATAAAATTAAAAATAAAAAAACAAACCACCATAAGTTGGTCTAGTGATTACTCGTGGAAGTAAATATATAGAGACTTTGTAATAAAATGAGTTCCAACTCTATGGTAGCTAGTCTAGGATATTAATATTCAATGAGTCTGCTAACCTAACAATTAAATGCTGTAACGGCAGAAAGTTGTTCCCTAAGATTCATCGAAACACGTAGATCGAGACACAGTCGAATATATAAAAGAAAAATGGAAGGACAAATAGGAAAAGCAAGTTGTGGGATGTGTGTGTGTTTCTTTAGCAAGAAGGAGGTTGGAAATGAATAGTTCATTTTGAAAGGGTTTTGTGTTGTTGTTTAATAATTAAGATATGTTAGATTTAAAACAAACATCCAATAATTGGGTGAGATACAGCTTGGTTTCCACCTTGTTGGAGGGTAGTGAGTGTTGGGAATCTTAGCACATTATTTTCAAAGCTTAAAAATCTTGCAAACCAACAAAGTTTACCTCACCTTTTCTAGCCCACATGTGATACACTCAAATCCAAGCTAGTTTTTGAAAGTTCTATTTTTATTCTTCTTTTTTCTTTTGGACTTTCTTTTATCACTTTTTTTTTTCCCTTGAGAGAGTAAAGATGGAGGAAGCCAAGATGATAACCATATACAAAAGATGTGAAGGTTAAAAAGATTTAAATACTATTATGATCTCTGTATTCTTAAAACGTGTACTTTCAATTTTTGTTCATTTTAGTTATTGTCCTTCTAAAACATTTGTTTTAGTCCATGTACTTTTAGAAAACGATTAATTTGATTCTTTTGTAAAATTTTAACGTAAATTTTATGCACAATGAAAACTTTTTGATACAAATCTATTGTTACCATTCAAGAAATTTAGTAAGTGAAGTATCATGCCAAAATCATGATAGAAAGAAATGAGATAAAAATAGAATTAAAGGTTCTAAAATAGTCATTTTTTAAAGTAGAGGACTAAAATAAATAAAAGTTGAAAGTCCGTTCCTTAGAATATCCGATAAAATTGAAAGTTGAAAGTCAAAGATGAAAGTGGACTAAAATTAAACTACAAACATATCACAGTACTTAAACAGAGAATTAAATAAAAGAAAGAAAAGAAGTAATAGTGGGAGAGAGATTATAAAAAATAGTATAAATGAAATTTAGTTTAAGTTAATCAAAGGGATTTGGATTTTTCTTTTCCCTTTTTTTGTTGGACAAGGGTGGGTAGGATTGGAAAATTTGAAAAAAGTGATATCCTACAAACTGATTTTTGCCAATATAGTAAGTTGTCTTAATTTAGAAGAAAGTGATATCTACAAATAACACCCATGTGGTTTAAAAAATATGATCAATCTTAATATTTGTGTCAATTTTCAATATTTTTGTCCTATCTTTTGAAAATATTAGTTTCATGTTTTTTTCTTCTTTCCTAGTACTTATAACCATTAAACATTAAAAAGGGGAAAAAGAAAAAGGAAAAAAAGAATGATATGTGAATTNATAAAATTTTGGTCAAAATAAGTGTCTTCATTAGTTGAACTATGAATAAATTCGTTACGATGGTTGTGATTTCTAATTCTTATTTCTCAGGATAATTTTTTTTCTTTAATGACGACCTATACCATTTGTACCATGTTAGATAAGTTATTATGGGTTCATTAAGTTAGGTCATATGAACTATGTATATTTTCTATTTTATAAGTGATCATAATTTTTATTTCACTAAATTAAAATGTAGGATATTTTCAATTTTTAGTTAATAAAATGTATTTTGATATTATATTAATATTTAGTTAGTAATCTTTAATATTTGGTCACTTTGCGAATCTGAGCATAGTTCAACTAATCAAGATATTATTTTATATTTGTCCTAAAAATCATAGGTTCAAATCTTCATCTCATATGGTTAAACAAAGAAACAACGGTGAAATTAAGAATTTAGTTAAAAATATTTAAACCTAAAGTATGAAATTTGAAACAATTAAAATATTATGAATTAAATGAAAAATGGCACAAATATAAGGATAAAAAACATATGCATGTATGACCTTCAAAAATAGTTTGCAAGGCTTGTACACATGACTAAATCCACGTGTTATTTATTGATTCAATTAATTTAAAAAAGAAAACTAAGTTCATATGTGATTTCATTCCGATAGTGTATATCAATTTTCAAATTTGGCATTAAAGTTTTTGACTTAAATACCTATTTAATAAATTCATTTAAATGGAAGGAATACGATCACGTGATTAAAATTTCTCAAACATTGAATATTCAACTCTTCCTATAAAAAAATCTAGAGAAAGATTAGTCGGACCTAAACTCAAATCAGATAATAATTTAGTTGAAGTATTAACTAGATGATATATATGGTTTGAATTACGTGGAGAGATGTTTGAAATTATTTGAAAAAACATTGGGACCGAGAACCTAATTTTATAATTATCAATTAAAACAAATTATTTATGGGATAAATAATTGAACGATTGATGTTATATTAAGCGGTGAATTAAAGATATTCGTGAGGGTGGTATTGTACTTGATTGCATCCAAGCCACAAAAATATTTTGCCTCTAATTTCTTCCACTTTTTTCCACACAAATTTGTATGTTAGTTCACATTTTGGACTGCCCAAAACATCACTTTCTCTATAGCATATAGTCTTTGTTAGAAATTATTTACACAACAAAAAAAAAAAAATCAGATTTTCAGGGAATCTTCCTTTTCATAATTTATCAATTAGTCTTAAAATTGGATGGTTAGGTTTATTTAATTCCTAAAATTTAAAACATTATCCCTAATATACTTACCATAGATAAATATTGATTGATGTGATGCAATGTAATGGATATAAAAATTAAAATAAAACAGAAAACATCTTGCTAATTTTTTGGTGCGGTTAGTTCTAGAGTTTAAATCTCATTTTTGTATTCATCATCATTTTTACATTTTGATTTTTGAATCTTAGTCGATGAACTTTAGTCATTAAATTCCAAAAAAAAAATAAAAGAAATAAAAAATAATCATTTTAATTCTTATTTGTTAATTTTATTACTTAATATCCACTTGCACCAATCACCTAATTAATGTTCAACCTCATCCGCACACATACTCATAGCTACATTATTTATTTGTTAAAAATAAAATAAAGATAAAACTAATTTTAAAAAAAAATTGGAAGCATTAAAATACAAATAGGATCACATAATTAGAAAGTCATAAGACATCCCTGCCGAACCCAACCAGCACTTCGTAGGCAAGTATTGTAACCATGTTTCGTCCTCACCCAGCCAATCTAAAGTTTTGGAGCTTTTATGATTTATGATTGAGTCTGCAAAACAAATGAAGGGTACACCTTATTGATTAACGTTATGGGTGAAATTACCCTATCAAATTTTCATGAATTGAAATTAGGGAAGTAACATGGGTTGAGCGGTCCAAGTCGAGCCATCTAGACCAAACCACCTAATCCAGATCAAACTCGAGTCAACCCAAATTTCGTATCACACCTATTAATTCTTTAAACCTTTTTTTGGGTATGTTTGTATGATAGATAGACATGATAGATGATAATGGTTACAAATGGAAGAAAGTGAAAAAGGCTGAAGTTTGGTGATGGAGTGGTAGTATTGAATAATGGAATTATCCAAACTCCAGCAGCCCCATGTGGGAGCATTTCCTGTCGTTCCCAACTCTAATCTAATCTAATCTAAGTTGTTCCTTAAAAAAACTTCATTAATTTAATGAAACAAAAATGGGTGTGGCTGTGTTTTGTGTTTTGTGTTTTGGTAGTGCTTCATTACAGCTAACATATGTTTGTTTCACGCATTCTTTTAAGTCAAACCCACATTAAAAACCCTAGGCAAACACACACAGAATCTCATCCTCACATGCTGTGGCTTAATTAAGATCATATAATTATGGATTAAATTGTATTATATGTCTTTTTTTTAGACAAGAAGATGCAATGTTCCTAAAGATTGCTTGTCGGTAATAACAACTTTGGATCATAAAGGAAATAGATCAAAGAATCTGGTGCTTAGATTAAAAGATTCCCTCTAAAAAACAAACAAAAAAAAGTCGTGGAAGGGTACGTTGAGTATATGAGATATCAAAATTACCGAATCTCGACTTCTTTTTTACTCGTGAAGATTTACTGCTATAGTAGACTTCGGTTAAAATAATATTTTTGTTCATGCACTCTTAGCTTTGGTTTATGTAGTTTCAAAATGTTTATTTTGATCTATGTATTTTCAACTTTCGATCATTTTGAGTCTTTGTATTTTCAAAAGTTTCGTTTTGGTTCCTATACTTTTAAGTGACAGTTTTGGTCCATTAATTTTATTTTTAACTTTATTCTTTCCATCGTTATTTCAACATGACAATATACTATTCAATATATTTCTTGAAATGTGGCCCTGATTTTGTATATATATTAAAAGGTTTCTATTATGTGTAGAATTTGTGTTAACATTTTGAAAATAACTATGGATTAAAATGGTCACTTTTAAAATCTATAAAAATCAAACGAACCTTTTGAAAATACAGAGACTAAAATGAAGTAAAGTTAAAAGTACAAGTATAAAAAAATGAACATTTTGAAAATACAGAAACAAAAAGTGAATCAAATTAATCGAAAATATACAGATCAAAATAGTATTTTAACTTTTAACTGAAAGTATACGGATCAAAATAGTATTTTAACCTCTATATTTTCGTGATGGGTAAAAATGTAAGGAATTCAATGTTCTTTTTGCGACGAACACTTAAATTCTAGGTGGGTTCCTACTCTGGTGACTAAACATTCTATATGTCTTTTAATGTCTGAATGTTGTTGAATAAAGTTCGTCCATCTATACATAATTTCTTCGCTATTGAAGAGATTATAGACTACGCATTTTGATAGGATTTAAAATCAAAAAAGTATGTGTCGTTTGATAAACATTTCATTTTCTATTTTCTATTTTTAAAATTATGCTTTATTTCCTTGTGGTACACTATTTTTAAAAACAAATTTAAATTCTTAGCTAAATTTCAAAAATAAAAACTATATTTTAGAAACTATATTTTTTCCTTTTAAGATTTGGGTTAAATTTTGGAAAAATTTTCTAAGAGCAAATAAATGCATATATGCCAGTAGTTTCTGTAAGCTACATTTTCAAATACAGAAATTCAAAACCGATTATGGAACCTAAGATCTAATTTAATTTCTCCACTAATTATAGCAAATTGTATGATTGGAAATTTGTCCCAAAAAATGAAGTTCAAATTAGAAAAGAGAGCATATAATTCAGCATCAATAATAAAAACACAATGCTTCTTAATTTCACATGTTATTTTCTTGACAAAGTAAGAAAAAGAAAAAAAAACCAGAGAATTCAGAGACGATGATGAACAAACCTAAAAATGTCAATGTTCATATGAACCCAAATACATGGCTCTCTCTACTCTAATGATTTCAATGGGATCAAAGAGAGTTCTACAATAAATTAATGTACAATTTTAATTACCTCTGAACTGATTTCCCCTTCAGCCGGCCGCCGCCGGCTCTGCAATCGGAAAATTTAGTCATTCAATCATTTCCGGTGGGGAAAAGAGTAAGAACCTTCCTCCCTGATCCCGTCCCACTACCCGAATCCAAATCCTCGCCGTAATCCGTCGCCGGGTTATGCACCGGAGCCCCGATCCGGTGCACCGGCCGAGCCAGAAACGGGTGCTCGAACTGCCCATTCGGCGGCGACCCGAAATGGCCCACTTGCCTATGGAACTGCGCGGCGGCGGCGATTTGGTGGTGGTGCTGCAGAGCTCCGACGGGGACGAACGGCAAGAAGTGGTCGGAATTGGGGCGGGCAGGGTGGAGAAAATGCGGCGGAACAGGGGAGCTGGCGAACAAATGGTCGGTGGCGGGATCTGAATTAGCAGCCGCGGAGGCGGCGGCGGCGGTTGCTCCGCCGGAAATCCCCTGCATCCGCTTCAAATAGAGGCGGTATTTCTGCAGATGGCTGGCGACGTTCTCCCGGGTCAGCCCATCGACGCTCATGAGCTGCATTATGGTTTTGGGGACGGCGTTTTTGATCCCCAAATGGGCCACGGCGTCCACAAATCGCTTGTGCAGCTGCGGCGTCCACACCAGCCGCGGCCGCTTCAGAGTACGCGCCGGCTCCTCCCCGCCGCCGCCGGATCCCAGCTCGCCGGAGTCCCCGAAATCGCACGACGTCGGCGGAGGCGGCGGCGGAGGCGGTGGGGCCGGCGGCGGCGGGCGATTGTGAATGGGGGTTCCGATGTCGAATGCGAGTGCAAGATCAGGGGTGATTAGGGTTTGGGAAAGGGGCATCAATTCATCAGGAGATGGAAGCTCCTCCTCCCATTTTGAGAACCAATTTGAATCGTCTTCCCTCATTTTTTCCCAAATCAAAAGCAAACCCAGTTCAGTTCCGAGCAATGTTCTTAATGGGTCTGCTCCAATTTTGGAAACAGAGCTCTGAAATTTTCAGAGCAGAGGAAAAGGGGAGAACAAGGTGGGGAATTTGGGACTTGGGAGACAGATTCGAGGTGGATCTTGTTTGTTTTGTTTTTCTTTTCGGGTAATAATTATTAAAAATATTTAACAAGTACTCTTGCTGATTTTTTATTATATTTAATTTAATTTTTTTCTTTATCTGGCCTCTGGGTTTTATTTTCCGGGATCTGAGGGAGGAAAAAGAAAAGGAAAATCAGGATCAGAAGATGTGATTTTTAAGGATTGGGGGCGCGTGGCAGGCGCGTGTTGGATGTCGAGTGGGGAAGAGCAGTGGGCCAATCATTTGAATGTCGTGGCCCCTCCCTGAGGGTTAGTTCTGGGGAGGACAACGGATCCTGGTACTAGGAATTTTGTAATGGGCGCGTGGAGTGCACGCACTAATGGGAATCTGGGGAAGGATAAAGAGAGTGGATTTTTTTTTTGTCCAAAAATCGAAAATGCAAAAGTTAGGGTTTAGTCTTGTCAAAGGATCCTACTAGGATAGGCCCAATTTGTCGGCCCACAACTAATCCGTTACCTACTCAAAAAGTTGTTCAAACTTTGAACATGATAAGAAAATTATCTTAAATGGCTAAATTTAACCATAATATCTCTACATTTTTTTTTATAAATTTAGATTTTGAGATTTGAAATTCAATTTTTTTTTTTCCTAATGTCATCTTTAACATTTATTATATATTTTTTCTGTTATTTATTTCCAATTAAATAGAGATTTTCATTTAATGTCGGATTGCGATGACATTATGTTTTTATTCTATTGTAAATCATTTTTTTATTCTATTTTAGTTACAATTATATTTCTCATTTTAATGTGTATAATGGTCCCAATAAACCTACTTTTTCATGTCATCACATTTTTTTTAAGTTTTTCTGTTTCCAGCGGCCTATAATTCCTTATATTTCTAGTAGGTTCATACATGTTTATTGCGTTGTATTTCCGACAGCCAATTTCCTTTGCATTTTCATTTCTAAGTGTAAAAAAATCACCATAAACTTCGTCTTTGTGAGTTTCATTCTCATGGTAAAACATAATCTTTTAAGGTTTATCTGTCACGTGGCTTTTCATCTTTCCGAATATTGATTAACTATCCTGAGAAACTTTTACAATTTTTCAACGACTCATCCCTTATCTCTCTATATATTTTCAATTTTCTAACTTTGTTTTTAGAAATGGTTATCAATCATGTTTTGTTTTCTATTTTTTAAAAACAAAAAACAAAAATGTTATCAAAACATATATGATTTATGTTTTTTAAAAACTAAAAACATAGTTTTGGTTTTTTAAAGTTAAACTTATAAACATTGTACTTTTCATCTCCATTATTCTTAACTTTGTTGTCTACTTTGTGAAAGTATTTTCAAAATCTAAGTTAAAAAAGTTCAAAAATATAGGTTAAAAGATCTTTATATTTTTAATTTTTGTTAATTTTAGTTCCTACTTTTAAAATTTTCTCCTCGTAATTTTAAGATCTTTTAAATTAATATGCTTGTTTAACTTACCACCTTTGACAATGCCTAGTAATTTATCCTGGTACCCCAAAATGAGGTTTCTCAGTTTTGTTTTCGCGGTTGTAAAAAGTGATTATTTTGTAAAACATACTCTTTCTTTTAGAAATTATAAAAAATGCATTAATACTTGTTAACACACTTTAAAAATTTGTTTTTAATGTATTAAAAATTCTCAATTAGAATTTTTTTTTCGTAAAAAAAATGCACTAATACTTGTTAAAAAGAAAGTTGATGTATCAATAAATATCTTCAATTTATTTCATCGTTGTTAATGATATCCAATTGTATCACTTTTTACCTGCGTACCATCGCAGAAAAAACTTGTATTAATTAAAATATTATTTTGATTCATATATTTTTAGCTCGTTCAATTTAGTCTTTGTACCTTTAAAATGTTCACTTTTGTTGTATCTTTTTAACTTTGATTTATTTTAGTCTTTGTATTTTTAAAATAGTCGTTTTAGTTCCTATACTTTTACAAAACGATCATTTTGGTCCATATTTACAAAATGTTAACACAAATATTACACATACTAGGAACCCTTTAATAAAAATTTATGGTTACGTTTCAAAAAATATATTAAATGTAATATCGTGTTAAAATTGTGATAGAAAAGTGATATTAAAAATAAAATTAAATGACCAAAATGATCCTTATTTAAAAGTGTGGGAACCAAAATGAAATATAAAAATTAAAATGAACCAAAATTAAAAGTATATAGATCAAATGAGAACATTTTGAAAGTATAACGACTAAAATAGTATTTTAATGTAAGGCAAAAAATTATGTTTTTTTTTTAAGAAAAAATAGAAAATTAAAAACGAAATCTTTATTATTTTTGGTAAAATATATCGATTCTCGTGTAGCCCAGCCCAGCCCAGCCCATGAGCCCAATCGCAACCCAAACCCTCTCTGATCTTCTTCTTCCCTCTTCTCTCCGCCATTCCCTTTCTCTTCTCTTTCTTTCTCGGTGCTTTGTCTCTCTTTGATCTTGCTCCCAGGTACGAGCTTCCGAGCTTCCATTTGTTTTCTTCTTTCTATTTTTTGATTTTCTTGATTGGGACCGTTCTGATTCTGAAACCCATTTCAATTACCTCAGAGCTAGTCTTTCCGGTGAGGTCAATTCTGGAGTTCGATTCTGCAATACGCCATTGATGCTCTGAGAACCGACGGCCAAGAGACGAGTTGGACAGCGGTTTACTTTTCAGATGGGTAGGCTTGGGTCTACCGTGGAAATCCCAGAAAGAAGACATCGATCTGATCGAGAAAGCGCCGCCCACCGCTACACTCCTGACTCCGATGCGTCCGGTGGCGATTACCGTCGTCGTAGCCCTAGCTACGAAAGCTACGATCGCTACAACCATCGACGCCGGTCTGATTCGCCGCGATACCATGACGTTAGACGAAGCCCTAGGTCTGATGGAGACCGAAACGGCCTGCCCAAGAGATTTGGGCGCGCCGGCGGGCGGGCCTATCTGGACAGGAATGGGAGACAGTCTGAAGAGTCGGAATCGGACGAGGAGCTGAAGGGGTTGAACTATGAGGAGTATCGGAGGCTGAAGAGGCAGAAGCTCCGGAAGACATTGAAGCACTGTATTTGGAGAGTCACCCCTAGCCCACCCAGGAATGATAACGACGATTTTGAGGAGAAGGCGGATGAGATTTTGGATAAATGTGGCGACGACGGTGGATATAGAAGTGGCTCCGGCGAGATAAAGCAACATGAAGAAAAATATGAATCTGACAAAACTAAGAATTCCGACTCTGGTTCTGATTCTGAATTGTCTGATACAAAATCGAAAAAGAAGAGATTGAAGAGTTCAGGTTCCAGGCATAGAAGTAGAAAATCGTCACGTAGTGATACAGAGTCAGGAAGCGCGAGCGAGAGTGAAAGCGAATCTGAGGAAGAAAGTCGGAGGAGAAGAAAGAAGTCGAAGAATCGGAGGAGGAATAGAAAACATAAGAATAGTAGTAGTAAGAAGAAGAAGAGTATGTACAGCGATACAGAAGACGGTGAAGAAAGTGAGACAGATGATTCTGATGTTAGTGACCGTGTTAGGTCGAAGAAAAGGGGTCGTAGTAAAAGGACCAGGAGTAGTAGGAAGAGGAGGTACAGTGATAGTGATACGGATGAGGGTGAGGAAAGCGAAGGTCGAAAATTGAGGAAGTCGAAGACCTCATCGAAATCCAGGAGCAAGAGAAAAAGACAGTCAGAAACCGAGAGTAAGAGTCCCGCTTCTGAGGAGAATTCTGGTTCTGAAGACGTAGATGCTAATAGTAAATTAAAGGTTGATGGAGAGAAGATGACTGAGGTTAATGCTGAAGCATTGAAGATTAAGGAAATTTTGGAGGCACAAAAGAAACCTGCGTTTGATAATGAGATGCCGGTTGGACCAATGCCATTGCCAAGAGCTGAGGGCCATATTAGCTATGGTGGTGCTCTTAGGCCAGGAGAAGGTGATGCCATTGCACAGTATGTTCAGCAAGGGAAGCGTATTCCACGACGTGGTGAAGTGGGACTTTCAGCTGAGGAAATTCAGACCTTTGAGACCCTTGGGTATGTGATGAGTGGTAGCAGGCATCAGAGAATGAATGCAATCCGTATTAGAAAAGAAAACCAAGTCTACAGTGCTGAAGATAAAAGAGCCCTTGCAATGTATAACTATGAAGAAAAAGCAAAACGTGAGCGGAAGGTGATGGATGATCTTCAGCGGCTTGTTCAACGCCACATAGGTCATGATGTTGGCCCTTCGCATGATCCTTTTGCCGCATAACCTCATATGGTGCCATATTTGAAATATTTTTTATTTCACAATTTATGCATTTTCATGTAATCTTTCTTAGGGCAGGAGGAAAAAATGTCATGCAAGGATATGTGAATCACTGCTAGAGAAATCTTCTGGTTGTATTCATGGAATAATTTGGTGGTTCTATACTCATGCAACTTAAGAAACAGTAAATGTTAGAACTTTACTAGTGATGGCATGGTAGTACTGGCTCTTCTATTGGCTTTTGAGAGAATTAAAGAGTATTTTCTTGTATGTTAAAGCCTCAGTGATCACCATGAGTATACTTTGCCCATATTTCTTTCATCTCCTCATTTCCTTCATTGCAATTCTCTATGATTTATTATTTTCCCTTTTTGCCTTTCAACATTTACCAAAAATTTGAGTGCTCTACAATTAGGAATTGCACCTATATGTATTTCAAACTCTCTTAGGAGGTGACTCATTTTTGTGCACAGATGTGGGCTTCGTAGGTGTTATTCTTACCGCCTATTTTGATTATTGATGCCTATTAGTTCTCTCAGGATGCTTATCAAGTTGTTTTTGTTTAGCTTAGATTGTTTCTTATCGTTACTGTTTTATTAGCATAAATTCATTGGAGATAGATGTCCCATTATTAGTTAGTTAATTATCCATAATCTGTAATTTATTTTGCGGTTAGAATGATATTACTTGATTTTGTTCTTATTTCTCGTCTTGAGTTTGGCAGAGGACAAGAGCACGAATGAGAATTAGAAGGTATATTCAATTTTCAACCTTGAACTTGTTACTTGAACGATTCTTTTAAATGCACAATCTTCTCTTTTGAGAAGCAACATTATTTGTGAGAGATGCATATCAATCACTTGCCTATTGAGGAACATATCTTGATTGCTTCCCATAGACGAAAACCATTGTTACATACAATAGTTTCCTATAGGTAAAAGTGATTTGTCCTTGAACAAGAAATAATTTTTGTTGGTTAGTGTCACACCCACAATTTTTTTTTTGGGGAAAAGATACGATTTCATTAATGCAATGAAATGTAAGATATACAAAAGGGGATGAGAATCCCAAACCGATGGAGCTACAAAAAGGCTTTCCAATTGGTTAATAGAGAGTCAAAACTATAGTGTTGAAAGATGGGTGAGCATTCACACCCGCAATTCTCTTCCTGGGATTTTGAACTCCCTCTCCTCCATATATTCTTTCGTTTGTGAGAACTCTAATCAAAGTTAATCATTGGAAGCAGGGCTTGGGTGGTGAAATTATTGGTGTTGCTCCATACTCGGGCTTAAAATTTAGGCAGGAAAGAATTCAATTTCAGTTGGTGGTTCTACATTGCTTTTTTATCAACTTTTATAGTTTTGTACTCGTGATATACTTGCATTTCATTGCTATTCCGGTTGAGAACGCACTTAGAACAAGGGGATTATGTCTATTTACTGAAACTCATGAGTCGTGACCAAGATTGTGGATTTAACTTCCTTTTCTTCTTACAGATTGAATACAAATTACAGGAGAATAGTGACCTTTTTGTGTAGAAACATTCCTCTTCCAGCTGTTACAACTGTATTAAATGAGCGGATTGTTATTGATCAAAGTAATAATAGAGAATGATACTTCGATTTTGTAGTCCCCCTATCCTAAGTTCAATTTACTTTTTAGTTTTTAGACTTTATAGATGAATTCCGATCACCACAAACAAAAATTATATTCACATAATTTCTGCTAGCTAATGCATGAAATTTAGAAGCTTCCTTTTCCATTTGTGGTGATTCAGTTACTTACGTAATGTAGTTTTTTGCCATTTCACCAAGGATTTCTTCCCTCCCCCAAACAGAAGCGCACAATTTTTATTCAGACCTCAGGTGGTTGTGTTATTTCTTGCTATAGGATGTAAAGGAGAGGCTGGGGAAGATAGCTCAGCAGCTTGTTTCACTCTTTGGAAAGGTATGCATTAAGACTTAACCTTTATGATAAAAAGCAGAAGACAAAACATTGTTGATACTGGGATCGTTATTTTAGGATGGTAATGTTAAGTTGTATTTAAAGTAGAGCATTGGTAACATTATGAAGCATATTATTTACTGGGTAATGTTAAGGTTTACTATTTTCTTTTGTTTTCTGGTTTTCTTTCTTTTGTATCTATTCATTCATTCATCCCTTGTTCTTCATTAGTTTTTGCCCCAGTAGCAACCATTCTTGTTTCTTCTCGATACTAGCCATTTGTTTGGGAATAATGTAATTTCTTGTGGAGACTCCATGCAGTCTATGCTGAAAATATGTGGCAAGTGCAAGGAAAAAAAAAACTAGTGTCTAGTTACTTGATCCATTAAAATTTTCAAGGGTGGGGTGGATCTTCATCATCTCTATTTTCACTATAAGAACAAGAGTTTTATGGATCAAATTGTTGAATAGGTTGGTTGGGGTATTGGTTAGAAAAGAAATCAAAGATGATATGAAAACAAGTGCGCCCTATGGAAAGATTTGAGATGGTAAAGTTTCATTCAGCCTTCTGGGATTCCCTCTCCAAAGCTTTTCATAATTTTTCAGTCAGTGATTAATTCTTGTTGGGAGTTTCTATGTAATTATTTCTCAGATGCATTTGTACATTGTTTGGTGATTAAAGTCTTCAATGGAGTTCTTAATAGATAACTTTTCCATTGTCAATGAAAAGACGCAAGTTCCCGTCTTGTGAAACAAAAGAGAGAGATTAAATGATCTGCATGTGGAATGAGCATGAAACAAATCTTAGTTTAGAGACTTTAGATGGAAGGCAGATTGTGCCTAGTGGGTTAAGACAAAAATCAAATTACTGTTATTTTTAAACCAGTTTTTCGTTTTGTAATTTCATAAATGCTTTTCTGTAAGCTCTCTGACAATTTTATCTTGTACTTGATTCTTTACAAGCATATATTTTCCTATGAGGTTACTTTCATCGAAAGTCACAGCATGTTGTCGTTCTTGATTCATCTGGACTTCGTATCCAAACTTCAGATCTTATCCTTTGAGGCATCTTGAGTTTGAGGGGAGGCAGTTTTCCTGAATTTTTGTTCTTTTTTTTTTCCTGGTATGCCGCTCCGCGATGTATAGTCCTGGTAGATTTAGGAGAGAAAAGCCCTTTAGGGTAAGAGTTAGGAAGTTTGGGTTGTGTGAATCTTGTTGGTGTTTTGGCAGCAGGGGGTTTTACTGGAAGTCTAATGGGCAACGAGGAACTTCAATAGGTTTTTCAAGGATTGCAGACTTCTGCGTTGTATTTTTGCTTGATCAAGTAGACTTATTTTAGTGAATAAGATGTAACCAAGGCAAGGGGTGGATTGGTGAAGCAAGTGAAAGATGTGTAAGTTGTAAGTTTTGAGAAATATTATTTTTTGGTGTTTTAGTTTACTTGAATCTCACCTATTTCATGCTGACATGTTATTTTGTTTCCCTAAAGTTTCAGGAGAAAATGGAGAGATGAAAGGCGGAAGGAGGGAGCTAACACTGACTTATTAAAGATAAGATATGTGAATCGATATCGAGTGACCGATAAGGCTATAGTTGTTACAATTGTGTAAAGCATCCGTAGTTATTGCAATTACACTCCTAAACTTGGAAAAATTAAACTCTCATAAAAATTAAACTCTCATAAAAATCAAATCATGAACTTTCAATAGTAAAAATTAAATCCGTAAGTTTTTATAAGTTAAAAAATTACACTTTCTAAACTTTCGAGGGCCGTCTGTTTGGGGGTAATGACAAATTTTAATGAGATGGTCATCTAGATGTCCATGTTTGTTTGATAAGAATGTTGAATTCCTGAGCATTCTTAGATGCCTGGACATCCCAGGATGCCTATACGGGAGGCATCTGAGTAAGTTGACCTCTTGTAACATGGGTTTCTAAGATTCCCGTGCTGAGGTCATCTTTTTTTGACAATTTTGTCCCTCATTGTTTTTTCTATAATATTTTTTCATCAATAATGTTTATTTCTCATTTATTTTATCTTATTTTAAAAATAAATGTATGCACTAATTCATTGATATATGTCTAAATATAATTTTATTTATATGCTATATTTAGATATAAAATAAATATTATTCAATGGTATAATATCTTAATTTGATTTTAATTCAAATCAGGATACAATCTTTCATTTATTTTACTCTTCCAATAATCACAAAATATAAACTAAAATTGACATAAAAATATAATATTAAATTGATAAAAGTACCATTTTTATATGAATTCAAATAATATTAAATTTAACATATAAATTATACGACGACCGTTAAAGATATTTTTGGAACATTACATAAATTTACAATATTACCATGAATAAATGTTGACATCTAAAATTCTGGGATCTAAAATTCCGGGTATATGAGATTTCAGACATGTGAAGATGTTGGAAAAACAAATAGTCCCTCAACGGTAAAAATTAAAACCCATGGACGTATTTGAAAATTTCACTCATTTTATCTAATGTCGCTGGTTTGACTTCATTGATGTTGTTAGGGAGCTTCTTCAACCTTTGAAGGTAAATGGAAGAGTTGATGGAAGGTAATTAGGGTCGGGCATAGAAATTTATGTGATTGCAATAAAAATATTCCAGTTTGGAGTTTTCTATGTATTTTTTTATTTTGTTGCTTTATTTAAAATTTTCAGTTATTTTCCAGTCGAAGACTATCGAAAATATAGAGATGAATGAGAGAGTAGAATGGAGATAATTTCCTCCTTTGATTTGAGATTAATTTTAACCCACCAGCTGAAAATTGGAATCGATATACCTTTATAGGTAATGACCAAATTCACGCGTGTTAATGAAAATGACCATAAATATTATAATTTTAAAAAATAACACATCTTTTGCAAAAAGTATAGAAGGGCTAATTTTGCATTTGACAGTTTTAGGCTGCTCACATTTAAGGAGCTTTCAAACTCAAAACTAAATTTGTAAAATTCTATCCTACATAAATTGGAAAATAAAATTTAAACTAATTTAGTTCACGTTTCAAAATTAATCAAATCTCTCCCGTTCAATTAGGATTTAACTCATTCTAGCAATTTATTTGCTGCCATCCAATCTCGTTAATCTTTTATTCCATCGCATGGGGTCCTCTCGCTAATCTTCATCACGCATCAATCTTGTTTTCCATGAAAATTCCTCTACAATGACTTAAATCCTAATCGACGCTGAGTAAGGCGGTTTTGGCCTTACCTGGAGTTACAAAGTGCCACATGAGAGTGAATCTGATGGCGGTGAGTGAGAATGAGCAGAGGAATGATAACGTCGGGTGTGGATTAGTCCTTCCAACCATGATGTAATGTTGATAAATAATAGCGTTGGCCACTATGTAGAAGACAAAGTGTACTAATGATCTCTATTTTTGGGTGTGAAAATGCAAAATTCAAAGGACATTTTAGCAATCGGAGTCGTGTGGGCTCTACTTTTGTCGAATTACATGGTTAGTAAATTTGTGCGCGGAAGTGAAAGTGTGAATATAGTCATGCAGATGCACATTTGCAAACTCTACACAGACTCTGAGATGGAGACACACACCCATTCTATATGCACCCCGCATATTTGTGTCTTCATAAAATGGAAGAAGTAGTAGAGAGTGATAGTTCTTGTAAACTTAATAGAGATATTGTAATTGGAAGCACATATCTGTTCTAGACGTACCAACAGACGCGTTCTTTAGAGCATAGAAGAAGGAGAAGATTTGTGGAGATAGTTCCATATCTAGAATTCGAATGACATATGTTATTTATGTCTTAGAGCCTGCTATATAGTTGTGGATACAGACCCGCGGATAGTTCCATATAGAGAAAGCGAAAGTGTGACTGTCACTTAAGACATGCAGACACACAATTGCAAACTCAACAAGACTCTGTAATGGGGAGGATGTACCCATGCTAGACGCAAGATAGCACGAGATTTTGAGTTTCGCGTGTCTACCATTTCATCACCAAGGCATCTTGAAAGTGAATCATATTCCTTGAATATGATATCTATCTAGTTTGATGTATGGAATATATGACAAAGGTGGAGTGTTAAAGTATTTCTATTGCTCGGTCATGTCATATAGGTCCGAGTCGGACATCCAATTGCTTCGATTTGAATTATCCGGAGGATGCCTTACTATTATATCA